CCCCCCCCCCCTCCGAAAAACAAAGAGCAGGAGCGGCAGCGGCTCATCTAGAGAGGACTGCACGTTGCTCACGTCTAACTATTGATAAACAGATCATTCGGTCGGATTTTTCATAAGCACACAATAATTTTAGGGCTAAAAAGGAAATAATAAAAATGAGGAGAAATAATAAAAATGTCTTTCCTTTTGTTCTGCTCATCCTGATTGTGACTGGATTTGAACTTGGGTCTGTATTAGTATGTCAACTGTTCGTGGGTGTACCATAGTCTTTCGTTTCGTTGAAGGAAGAGGAGAAGAGGAAAGGACTCCTCTGCCGGTTAGGCGAAGAATACGGTGGCTTTGTTTCTTTCTCTTTTCTTTTCCTTTCTTTTCCTTTTTTTTTTTTTTTTCCTGATCTAAGGTGCCTTTTTTCTCTAGCTTAAGCGCAAATGGGGGGCACTTCTCCGGTTTTGTTTTGGGTAGATTTCAATAGTGCCACGAGACCCCGGTGTAATGGCCCTCGCTTCCCAATACTCACCAAAATTAATCTGCAAAATGAGAATGAATCTTCCGCTAGAAAATGGAAATGGAAAGATACACCGCACAATATTTTGTGTTTTTTGTGCATGTGAAGAGTAATGGAGCGAGGCCTGCAAAATGAGAATGAATCTTCCGCTAGAAAATGGAAAGATTCATCGCGATATGTTGTGTTTTTTGTTCATGTGAAGAGTAGTGGAGCGAGGCCCAATGTTAGTAAGCCAGGTCATCCACTACGAAACAGAACGATAAGGTCGTCCTGTTCACCGCCGGTACACGTCTGAAGCATACTCGCGTTCGAAGTGATCGTCCTCGTGGTGGCGATGGTGATGCTCTCCATGGCCGCCCGTCGTGATTGTCACCATCGCCACCCGTCGTCGTGGTGTGCGCCATCGCCACCGTCGTGATGCGCTTCATGGCCATCGTCGTGGTGTGCGCCATCGCCACCGTCGTGATTCGCACCAGCGACACCGTCGTGATTCGCACCAGCGACACCGTCGTGATTCGCACCAGCGACACCGTCGTGATGCGCTCCAATGTCCATGGCCATCCGTCGCCCACGTCCACCATTGCGATCTCCACTTTGCCGACCTGCTCTTACGAAATGACCCCGGTCCGGGAGACCATCGCCCACCGATCATGCCGCTCACGTCCACCATTGCCATCCCCACGCTGGCGACCTGCTCTCAATGAAGTCACCCTTTGTGTCGCACACTGTCCGGGGGGGACCATCGCCACCGATCATGCCGCTCACGTCCACCATTGCCATTCCCACTTTGGCGATCTGCCACTTTGGCGATCTGCTCTCACGAAATCACTCTTTGTGTCGCACACTGTTGCCGCCCGTCCGGGAGACCATCGCCACCGAGCATGCCGCTCACGTCCACCATTGCCATCCCCACTTTGACGATCTGCTCTCACGAAATCACCTTTTGTGTCGCACTGTTGCCACCCGTCCGGGGGATCATGCCGCTCACGTCCACCATTGCCATCCCCACTTTGGCGACCTGTTCTCATGAATCACCCTTTGTGTCGCACAGTGTTGCCATCCGTCCGGGGGGGACCATCGCCACCGATCATGTCGCGCACGTCTACCATTGCCATCCCCACTTTGGCGGCCTGCTCTCACCCGAACCTTGTGTGTCGCACACCGTTGCCACCCGTCCGTGGGACCATCGCCACCGATCGTGTCGCTCACCGTGGACACATGCATCACCATCACTACCCTGGAGGCCTGCTCACCGTCGTCATGATATCATCAATCACCATCGACACTATCGTCACCAAGCACTTCTGCCCGGGTTCAGTCCGTCTACCGGGCAACTGCCTTGTCATCCCTCACCCACACTACATTGTCCATGTCGTTCCTGGCCTTTTCGACGCCAAGGGTCTTTGAACTCCTGATACGACTGTTTTGCTGCCTCTACCCTTTCCAGTGCAAATGGGCTGACGGGTCTGTAGGCATCTTCGGATCAACAGAATAAACGTAGCGACTCTACCCGACGAAGTTCAGGAGAGAAGGAAAAGCCGTGCAGAAAACCAATATGTGACCACTGAACTCCACAAAATACTGTAAGTACTTAAGTCCCCTTTTTCACTACTCTCTCTCTCTCTCCCTCTCTCTCTCTCGCTCGCTCGCTCGCTCTTTGTGTTACCTCCGCATCCTTGGCGGCAGCGTTTCACCTGTCAGGTGTAATCTCAGCGGTGACGGACACGCGCGCGCAGGCACAGAGACACACACACACACACACGCACACACACACACACACACACACAGAGAGAGAGAGAGAGAGAGAG